GAATAATTCCCTGCTGGAAGTGGAAGATAAAAAGGGACCTGACGGCTGAGGGTGCTGCAAAATAGATGATCAGCAAATCACCCAGGTGCACCCATCAGGGGGGTGCTTGTGAGAGCCCTCAGTAATGGGGCAGTGTTGGGATGCAGGATGGATGCAGTGGGGCTGTGTCAGGGCCTCCACATAAGCCTTTTGTCTCAGTGTTCCCTGATTTCCATGTAGCCACATTTATTGAAGGCATGTGCAGGTCGTGCATGGGCTGTACCTGCCTCTGCTGACACAGCTCTGTCTCCACCATGCCCTGAGCCCCTTAAGATGCTGCACCCCTGGGCTTGTCTCAAATATGGATTTGATTCCTCCTCTCCAGCTCTGGCTACGCTGGAAGCGTTCCTGAAAATGAAAGCCAGCTCTTTTCTGAGCTTTGAAGTGTGGAGTAGAACTGAACAGAGAAAAAAAAATCTATCCCATGGGGGATGGGTTTTTAGAAAAAAAAAAAAACCACCCTATTGAGTCAATGGCATTTGTATGAAAAACAGTCCTTGGAGTCATTTCCATAGGAATCAGCCCTCCCATTCCGGGCAGGCTCCCTGCAACAGCATCCAAGGCTGCAGCTGAGTGGGGAGCAGTGTGAGAAGGGGGGGTTCTGGGGTCTGCCCACCCCAGGAAAGGGAAGCAGGGCAGGGCAGGCAGCCTTCTGTTGAATCAGTGATTCACAGCTGTGACTCACAGCCCCATCCTATAGTCATGGAAAACAGCCAGGTCTGGCCATCAGCTGTGTGCCTTTTCCACTTCGAGAAGTTATTTTTGGGTGTTTTTAGATTACAGCCCTTGTATTTTTTTTTTTCTGTGCCTCTGAATTCTGGATGATTGCACTGCAAGTAATTGAGGCACTTGAATTTCCTGCTTAGAGAAATGAGCTCAATACCATTTTTTTGCAACTCTAAGGCATTTCTAAAATAGCTTTTCTGCGTGGCGTCATGGGGAGCAGGCACACAGCTTTGGGGCTGTTTGTGCTGAATTTGGGAGCACTGGGTGCAGGAAGGTTGCAGAAAAGGATGTGGGGGCTGTCAGCTTGAACATGAGTCACCAGTGCACCCTTGCTGTGATGGAGACTGGCTGGGTTTACTGGTAAGGTTGTAGCCAGCAGGTCAAGAAAAGAGATGGTTGCCTTCAATTTGGCACTCACAGGTCCACACCTGGAGCACTGTGCCCAGTTTTGGGCATAGCTTTGGGCTCCCCACTGCAACAGAAACAGGGCCATGTGGGAGCCACCAAACTGATCCGAGCGCTGGAGCCCAAGGAAGGGGGGGAGAGGCTGAGAGAGCTCCTTCAGCTTGGAAGTGTGAGAGCTGGGAGCACTGGATGATCCTTAAGGTCCCTTCCAACCCAAATCATTGTAGGATTCTGTGATTCATATCCCTCTCTAGTCTGATTTTGTGATCCCACAGGACAGTAAGGGGACATAGGGCTTTGTCTGTCCCCCTCACACTGGGGTGTTGACATGACACAGGGACCAGACAAGCTCATCACAGAAGTTCACAGCAGGTCTGAAATGCTACCCATCCTCTGGAGGTGACCTGAGCTGGCTGGTGATACGCAGCCACCCCTCCCTGGGGCACACAACTCTAACCCAAGAGCTCAGAACACCCTGAGCAAAATTCACACATTTCTTGGTGCTGCTGCTCCCCCTGTGCTGTGCACTGGAGGGGTTGGGCTGTGTCCCTGAGCCCCTCCCAGGCTGCAGGGACCAACCCCCACCCTTCACCCCTGCCCTTCCAACCCAGCCCTGCCCAAGTGTGGTGCTCAGTGGTGCCAGCTCTCCTGCCTGTGCCTGCATACAGCCCTGGGGCCAAGGTTGTTGTGCTGGGGGAGTGAGGACCAGCTGGTGAGGGAGCTTAGTGAGGTCTGGGGTCCTGGTGCAGGTGAATGCCCTGAGCACAGGGTGAGCCTTTCCCTCTGTGCATTCCCACTGTTGCAGGGCACAGAGCGTGGCTTTGGCAGGAGGCAGGAAGAACTTCTGTCCAGGGGAGCCTGTTGCCTGCAGGAGGGGTGGGAGAGGAGAGAAGTCTTTTGGGAGGCGGAAAATGTGATGCCACATCAAAGAGAGAGTTGAACCTGGGCCTCTAATTTCAAAACAGAGTTCAAACCGCCGGAATGTTACAGTCACAAAAATCCCAAAATGTATCTGGCACTTCCTTTTGCTTTCTCTTCCCCCATCCCTGGGTGCCACCATCATACTGGGGAAGCTCCCAGAGCCAGGACCAGCACCTAGGAGGCTCAGGGTCGTTTCTGGACAGCTTTCCTGCAGCCCTGAAAAGCCTGGGAACTTCGGCTTCCAACGTGTGTGGGGGGGCAGGAGCTGCTGGGGTTAACTTGTGGCTGAATGAGCTGTGGTTTGTCATGGAGTGCAGGTTCCTAAATCCTTCATTGGATCTCGCCCAGGGCTCTATTCCCAGCCCGGTTTGTGACATTAACAGGTCACTGCAGCCCCAGGGCTGCCCCCACCTTGTCCTCACTGCCTGCATGGCACTGGCAGGACACTGAGGGCAGGGCAGAGGGACCCACAGCCGAGGAGCCTCAGCACCCCATGGCACTGGCAGGACACTGAGGGCAGGGCAGAGGGACCCACAGCCGAGGAGCCTCAGCACCCCCGGCACGCAGGCGCTGGGATCAGTCTGGGAGGGGGACACGCCTCATTTCTGGCCTCCTTGAAACTGTGCCACCACACACGGCGCTCAGGAGGGATATAAATAGTGCTCAGGACGCCCTGGGATGCGGCAGACAGCAGGTATTTCAGGAGTGATGCTGCTGGCAGGGTCGTGCCGGGGCAGCTTCTGCTCCATTAGTGGTTATTTGCATCCTCTGAAGATGGACGGGTGTGAGCACAGCGGCTGGGGATGGACCAGCCAGGGGATACAGGTGGTGTTGTGTGGTCCTGGCACAGGTCCTGCATGTCTTTGGACAAGTTGCTGAAGACCAGATTTTCCACAGAGTACCTGTGACAGCCCCCCCCACATCCTTACAGTCGGATATTGTGTTTCAAAGGGGGTTTGAACATATATTATAGAATCCCAGAATGGTTTGGGCTGGAAGGGATCTTAAAGATCATCTCCTCCAATCCCCCTGCCAGGGGCAGGGACACCTTCCACTAACCCAGCTTGCTCTAAGCCCCGTCCAACCTGGCCTAGGACACTTCCAGGGATGGGGCTGCCACAGCTTTCTGTGAAATCTGTGCCAGGGCCTCACCACCCTCACAGGGAAGAATTTCACAGGGGCAGGGAAAGCTTGTGTGCATTCAAGGCTTCTCTCCTTGCAGAGAGGGATGCAGCTGGGCACGGAGCTGCCCACACTGCAAGGTCACTGTGGCAGACACAACCTCCAAGGATGTGCCTGTGGGTCCATCCCAATTCCAAAATGTCCACATTGAGCCTGTTCTGTGTGTGAGGGCTGCAGCAGGCACAGGCAGCAGGGGCACTCGGGCAGTGGGGTGCTCAGCATGGCAGTGAGGAGCCCATCTGCTGCCCAGCACATGGCACTGAGTTGGCACCAACACTGCCCGTGCTGGCATTTGCAACATGTGGGGTGCTGAGCACTCAGGCAGGAGATCCCAGAACTGGGGGTGTCGGGTGCTCGAGCATGTCTGAGCAGGAATTGAGGGTCTGAGTAGGGTTTTGGGGTCTGAGCAGGGTTTTGGGGTCTGAGCAGGGCATTGGGTCTGAGCAGTGCTTCAGGGTCTGGCAGCTCCTGGGCATAAGGACTGGGAACACAGCAGTGGAGGAGGCCACTTCCATGCCTTGTAGCCTGGTGGTTTGAACACTTTCCTGGGAAATGGGCTTTCCAGTGCCCCCCATCTCACTTCAGGAGAGCTCCCAGCTGCAAGAGCACAGCAGCCCTCATTCCAAGGGAGCCAGCACGCAGCCAAGGGGCAAATCTTGGCATCCCAGTAGGTGGCAAGAGCTGTAGGTGGTCAGAGCACTGAGCTGGGAGAGGAGGGAGAGGTGCTCTGAGTGATGAGGTCACTCAGGGACAGAGCAGAGGGGGACCCAGGAAGCTGGTGAGATGTTTAGGAAGCGTGGAGGCTCTGGAGGGGCTCTGTGAGCACAGCCCTGACCAGTGAGCAGGGGCTGAGCACAGCTGACACCTGGCAAACATGAAAGCAGGGCTTGTTAGAGTGCACACAGACTGCTGATTGTAACCTCAGTCACAGAACCTCCTTAGCCAAAGCCTGACAGCATCCCCTGAGTTTTCCCAGGCAGATCTGTGATGCTCAGCACCCCCATCAGCCAGTCCCAGGGAAACAAGGCAGGTGCCCACTTCCCTTCTCTCCTCTCCTCTCCCTGTTGCTCCAGCCTCCCCAGCACTGTTTGGTGCCAGCTCTGCAGAGCTGGCAGCTGATCTTGGGCTCTGTTCAGAGCACCTTCTGTGGTGCTGGGCAGTTGGCTCCATGATGGTCCCAAAGCCCACTGTGCCATGGGTTTTTCTCACCCTCTGTCTTACAAATGAAGCTGCAGAATGGAGCTGTAGCCTGAAAGGTGCATCCACTCCCATGGCCTGCAAGAGGAACAGAGGATCTGGTTGTACAAGGGTGCATACACTTCTGGGGACTTGGGACAGCAATTTTTATGACATTACAGTATATTTTTGGGAAGGGATTACCTAATATCCCTTGGCAGGGGTGTCAGAACTAGATGATCTTCTAGTTCACTTCCAACCCAACCTGTTCTGTGATTCTCTGATTCTGTGTTGGTGGGATTTTGAGGTGAGGAGGTGCTGGCTGTAGCCTCTGAAGGCAGCAGGAGTTAGGTGGGTGTTGCTGGAAGCATCACTGAGTCCCCAAGTGCTTTTTGTGGTTATTCTTCAAAAGCCCAGTGAGGGATGGACACCTCTGAAAGGCTCTTGACTCCTGAGTTTTATTTAATAGAAGGGTTTGAAGCATGCAGTGGACAAACCCCCTCCTCCAGACTGAACTGCAGTAACTTGCTGTTTGTTTTCTTTTCCCAAAGCTCCCAGAATGGAGAGGAAGCTGGAGCCTGGCCCAACAACCAGTTTGACACGGAGGTGCTCCAAGCCATGATCCTGGCTTCAGCAAACGGTTGGTGTCCACCACGGGTGGGAAAACCACGACACTTGCTCTTGCAGGGGCATCTCGGGTTCCTGCTGTTAGATAAGATGCTGGTGGGACTGGTTTGTCTGGCTTCAAGAGTCCTTCTTCAACAGATCCCAAAGCTGGTGGGAAAGCACTGTGTGTGTGGGGGGGGGTCAGGAAGGATTCAGGCAGATTGCTGTAGACAGGGACACCTCTTCCACTCAAACTTTATTTCCCATGTAGTGGGCAGAACGTCACCTGGCTCATGATGTGGTTGTGTTACACGAGAGAGCCAGTCTTGAGGTGATCTTTTATAAACTACCTGGTTCCAGAAGGTCACACTAAAATGAAACTGCTGTGTTGCAACTTGCTGTGAGGTGAGGAGGTAGAAAGGCTGGATGCTCTGCATGTGGCAGTGCCAGGGAAACAGTAAATGCCTGAGTCAGTATTCCCAACAAACCTTGTGTCCAGAGGAGCTCCCTGGGTTCCTCTGCTGAGCCATGAACTCACAGAGGTTTTCCCCACTGGCTGCTGCTGCCTCTTTGCAGTTGTAGTCACAGGGGGGTGGTTTGGGGTCATTTTGGGTCGGTTTGTTCTGGTTTATGGCTGTGTGGAAGTGGTGGGCAGGGGGGGTGTTCCCACACACCCACAGTCTCCATGGCTTTGAATAAAACAAGTACAATTATCACTCCGTGCAGCACCACAGATAAAGAGGCTGGTTTTCATACAACCTTTATTTATAAATACCTCCAAGTCTTTCCCCCCCTGGATTTAAAAATAGAAGCAACAGCACAGCCATTAAAACCCCGTGCAAAATTTTTAGGATGTTTCCTTTGAGCTGTTGGGAGGGAAGGAATCTGAGGGATGGCTTTGGAGTTGCTTTCTTGGAAAGCTGCTGCAGCTGAACTTTGCTGCTCCTCAGACACCAGGCAGCCTGGAGACAGCTGCCCTGGCTGGGGAAGGGGACAAAGGTTGAGGCAAGGGAGTTGTTTACACTCAAGGGAAAGAAACAATGTGAAAATGTGTCTTTGCTCTGAAAAAAAGAGCATGGAAAAACAGCCTTTGGGGGTTGCACGTGGTTATCATCACCCAGGGCCTCCAGATCCGGTTTCCTTGCTGGCAAATAAAGCTGTTTTTTTCTGACTGCTGCTCCAGCAGTCCCCAGGATCAGAGCTGAGGGGTTCCCTTCCAAGTTAAGACTTCTATGGAGCCCCCGGAGCCCCATTTCAGCAAATCTCCCCCAGTCCACGAACCTCAAACAGCCCTGACCTCTCCCACGGCTTCAGTCATCCCAGGGGGTTGATGTAAATCAGATCCATCCTCTAGATAATGGCTTTTCCTTATCCATCCTTTTCTTGCCCTTTCTCGTTCCTTTCTGTGCTGGATGGATGGATGGGGACACAGCACAAGTTTTTTCCACTAGCACAGTGTTTTCATGTCAGCCCTGCTCTCTGTCCTCTCTTTCTGCTCTCTCTTTAAGCCAATGGTGTTGATTGGAGCAGGCTTTGATTAGGGGCAGCACTAATTACCCATTAAACTTCGTGCTGCCCATCCTTGGCTGATGTTTCCTGACTATTTAAATGATCCTTGTCTCTTACTGTCACCCACTGAGCTCTCTGTTAGAGCTCTGGCGTGGCAGGGGGGACACAGTGACACAAGTGATGCCCTGGGTGCATCCATACCCTGTGCCAGCTGTTATCCTTCACTTCAGCAAGAAGCAGAGCTGGCCCTGCCATACCAAGCCTGTGTGATCCATCTGCTCCAGGGATTAAATAGTTAAATCACCCTCCCAAGTCAGAGTACCTGGGGAGCTGATTTCCCCACAGGGCTGTGACCTTCCTGTAGGGTTTCTGTCTCCCTTCCTGGGCATCCTTCCTTTGAATTTTCCTCCCTTGCAACTGGGAATGACATGAAAAGCCAGTGTTTTTAGCAATCTGAATGGGCAGAAGCAGCTGCTAAGACATGCCAAGGAGCACAGATGCTCCAGGACACCAGACACTAAAGGGCAGACATCCTGTCCTTAAAATACTCTGGCTTCCAGTGGGAATTTATAGAGGTGCCATGAGATGGTGGGAGAGCAGACGGAAAGGCAGCCTGAGGAGATCCTTCTCCCCCTCAGGCAGGGCAGACACACTAAATTGGGGTCTCCTGAGAGCCCCACCAGCAGCTGCAGCAGCACGTGCTCCAGGGCTGCCTCTGGGGGATGGAGCCCTGAGCTGGTTATTTTTGCTGAAGCCCAAATTCTTGTTTTCCTCCTCAGGACCGTTTGGGACCATGTCTGGCTGCTGGTAAAGGCTGAGCATGACCTTTCCAGCAACAAGAGCTGAAGTGCCTTGCTTGGCAAGAGCACCTCGGTGCCCATTTATAACCCTCTATTGTTCCTGTTCTCTCCTCTTTTCAGCCTTAATGTCAGTGTTACCTAGAAACAGCCCTTCTCCCTTACCCGGGACCCACGGGCAGGCTGGGAACTTCACCAGTGGCTTTTTCTGCCTGGTGAAAGCTGTGCTGAGACTGCAAATTAATTCATGAGGACTCGGATGGTGCTGGCAGCCCCCAGCCCCTCCCTACTCAGAGCCCTGGTCATCTGGGATGGCCCAGGGGGGATACAGGGCAGCAATACCCGGGGAGGAGAAAGTTTCCAAGTCCACCAAGCCTCTAACTGGGCTGTTTCCAGCTGGGACAGTCCAGAAAAAGCAATTTTCGTCATGGCTGGAGTCTGTAGTGCACCTGTGAGATAATCCCTGCACATCTCAGTCCTCTCATCCCATGGGGATCATTTGTAACACCCAATGGGTGTGGGGCTGAGTTGGTTGTTAATGAATCAAGCTCCTGCTTATAGACATGCATCTCCCCAGCCCAAGGTCTTCAAAGGCCTGATGGGTCTGGAACCCATTTAATGGGGACTCTGGAAAAATCCTCCTGCAGTGAATTCTTCCCCAGGGGAAAGGGAAATGGCATTTCCCCACGCTGGGTCCCTGTGTTTGTGCACCACGTCCCCCCACCCCAGTGCACAACACTGTGCCTGTTTTTGGCCTCTCTGTGTTTTTCCCTCCTCCTGCTCCAGCAGAGCAGCTGTAACTTTTCAAACTGCAGTTGCTTCATACTTCTGACCCCTGCGAGGGAATGTGTACACAGCCATGTTTCAGGGGGCTGGTGGGATGTGGTCCAGCTTTTTGTCCAGCTTTCTGCTTGGCTTAGTCACCCCCATCTGCTTAGGGAAAAGCAAAAGCAACACAGAGACGTGGACAGAGCTGATCTGGAGTGAGGAGAAACACGAGGGGACCAGCCCACCATCTCTGCTCGTTGTTTTTCTTTATTCCTGCAGTGTCTCTGCCTGTTAAAGGGGGGAGCAGCACCCCTGGGCTCTGCCTTGGGCTCTTTGGGTGGCCTTGCTGGGTCTCTCCAGCCTCCCAGGAGAGCCTGTCCTTAGCCATGAGCATGAGGCACTTACAGGCTGAGATGGGAACCTCTGATACAGAGAGTGGGTTTTAGCAAATCATTTCTGAGCAGGGCTGTGCAAGGATCCCCCCCTGAGCCATGCACAGGCAGCTGCACTGGAGCAGATCATGCAGCAGCTCATGGCAACAGCATCACTTGAGCTTTACCATCCCCCCCTGCTCGTTTCTGCCCCTGCCCCCACGCATCCCCCACCTCCATCTGGTCTCCACCATCCAGCAGAGCCCCGGCATCCCGGGGGGGCCCTGAGCCCCTCCCCGCTCCTGCTTTCTCTCTCTCTCCGTGCTGGAGCTTTGCATAGCGACAGGAACGAACCTGCCTTCCCTTCCCCCTGCCCCCAGAGCTGGACCATCAGCCGCTCTCTGGCACGGATCTCCTTCGTGCTCGGCTTCCTAGAGCCATTGGGCGGTATTGCAGGGGAGAGATCGTCTTTCTCCTCTCCCGCGCCCCGCTCCCCGAATAAACCTGGCTGGAGAAACACCGGGGGCCAGGGCTTGAAATGCGGCGGAAAAACAAATAAATATCGGATTTCCCTTAATGCATTACTACCGATTGCGGCTGCACAACGTGTCTGGGCACTTTCGGGGGGGCGGGAGGGTGTCTGTGCCGCACTCCCCGGCACGCACGGGGCGATGCTTGGCGGCACCCAGGTGTGGGGTTGGCACCCGGGGGGGCTGCCGGGGCTCAGGGTGGGCTTTAACGACGTGCCCTTCTCTCTGCCCCCTCCCTCTGGCGTTCCCCACAGAAGCTGCCGATGGCAACTCGACCCTGGGCGGCGGGAATGGCACGATGGGGCTGAGCGCCCGCTACGGCCCCCAGTTCACCCTGCAGCACGTCCCCGACTACCGGCAGAACGTTTACATCCCGGGCAGCAACGCCACCCTCACCAACGCCGGCAAGCGCGACGCCAAGAACGCCGCCCCCGCCGCGGGCAACAAGAAGAAATCCGGGAAGAAGGAGAAGAAGTAGAGAAGAAGAAGAAGGAGACCTTAGAGCTACAGGGCAGCCGGCTCCAGCACTCCCCCCCCAAAAAAAAAAAAAACCCCACAGCCCAGGCCGGAGGACGAATGTGAATTTTTTTATTATTATTATTTTATTTTTTTTTTTTGTGATGCAAAAGTAGGAAACGCTGCGAATGTATCTCGTCATCATCAGGTCTGGGAGCAGGGACTCGCTGCTCTTAGACCTCGTGATGGGAACCAATCTGGAAGCTCAACCCAACACAAACAAGTGCCCTGTGAATAATGTTTTATACGATCCCTCGGGTATTGGAACATGCAAGGGCGGAAGGTCTTTTGCCACGTCTTTGGATCCGATTTGCTCCCAGGTAGTCCGAGCCTTTGTGCTCGGCTTTGCCCAATGTAAATAATTTTAACGTGGATCTTTTAATTTACGTAGCCCTTCAATCATTTTTTTGTTTGGAATGGAAAAGGAAGTTCTTAGCTTAGAGCCCGCGCTCCAGTTCTTCGCTCTTAAATTTTCCATTCATAAAATTCACCCCCCCTCCCCCCCCCCCCCGCCCCAGATAATGATAGTGATGGATTTTGGAATTTGGAAGTTGGTAGGGAGTGCTTCAGTTCCTGCTTACCTGCCACCCAGAAAAAAAAAAAAACAACAAGTGTTTATATTGCATGAATCAAAGGGAATATGGCAAAGCTGCATCCTAAACATTTTTTTTTGTTTGTTTGGGGTTTTTTTTTAAAGTGTAACCACTAATGGCCTGAAATACGAGAAAGTAAAAAGCCCTCCCGATGTCTGAGAGGCAGGGAATTGGATAAGGAGCGTTGCCGAGGTGTGCGGCAGCTGCCCCGGCGGTTCTAGGGGTCTCCGAAGAGCAGACACATCTCAAACCTTCTTTGCAGTAAATATTTATATGTACAGTCGATGTTCTTATGGAGTTAAGGCTAAGAGAGCCTCGCTCCCCCGCGGCCAGGCGGGTGCCCGGCCGGGTCCCCCGCCCGAGGGGACACCGGGGGGCGACGGTTCCCGTCTCTGCACAGTGTCTGCATGCACGTCCCTCACCTCCCACCTGCACTAGCGCAGTAGCTCCACACGGACCCGCAGAAGTCCTCGCATGCCCACGCAGCGTGGTGTGAACGCGCCGGCAGCCGCCCGAGCCCCGCGCCGGGGCTGCCTCGGGGGAAGGGGAGGGGGTGGGGTGGTTCAGGCGGGGTGGGGAAACTCCTTGCTTCTTATTGGGGCCCCAAAAAGGTAATTTGGGGTGATAGGGCGGTTTTTTATGAGGCGGTTGTTTTGGGGGGGTCTCGCCAGAAGGGGCGGGATCCGCAGAGCTGCCCGTGCATGGCTTTGGTGCAGAGTTGGTGACTGAGTAAGTGATGGTTGTTTTGGTGGCGTTTGGGGACCAGATTCAGAGAAGGGACCCAAAAGCAGGGGGTGATGCTGCAAAACTGGGGGCAAAAACTGAGGGAGTGTCCAATGGGACCGTGCAGGGCCAGCCTGGAAGAAGTGATGCTCCCGCTGGCTTTGGGCTTTCCACCCCACGGAGAGAATCAAAGGATGAGGAATAGAGTTTCTCCACACGCCCATCATCCTTGCACCAGGCCAGCTTCCCATAGCAAAGCAGCTCTGAGCCCTCCAGGGAGGCAGAGGGGGGCTTTATGTAGCCAGAGTGAGGAGAGGGGCTGTGGGGTGGCCAGGAAGGGGCCGCACCGAGTTTCCCAGGGGGTGTGTGTTGTTTTTTTTCCTTTTTTAATCACTAACACGTAACTCACCCGAGCAGATCCAGCCCTCTCAGCCAGGCTCACCCTACCCCAGCCCCCTCCCCAAACCCAGGGCAGCAGGAGCATCCTCCGTGTCTCATCCGGATCCAGCCACCTCCAGCTCTGGCTGCACTGGGAGCGGTTCCCACCCTGTCCCCTGCAGCTGCCACCTGCCCCCCCTTCCCTCTAGAAATGCTGTAGCTGAATCGTAGTCTTTATATTTTCTTTTTAATCTGCAATCTGAGGTAGCGTAGTGAGTGTTGTGTATTTAGTGGCGTGTTATTTTTAATTGCAGTAACTAACTTGTGGACATCAGTATTTTCAATTTTCTCTGTATCTTCTTTCCATGTGGTCTGTGCTCTGAGTGTACGTGAAATGAAAACACGTTTGCCCTTTCAATGTGTCTAATATTGAATTATACTTATATATTATATATATGCTTATATCCTTCTTATACCCATATAGACCAATGTCGATGTGTTACACGCAAGTTTTATACTCTAATATTTATATTGCTTTTTTTCTTTGGGAAAAAAAAATAATAAAATGGTTTCTTCTGAATAAGTGGTGTTTATTCCAATGGGAGGAGGGAGGCACAGATGGGGCCTGTCCATCCCATTTCTGCTGCTTCTGGTGGGGGAGGGAGGGATCAACCCCAGCCTGGCTCCAGCAGTGGGGATGGTCTTGGGGCACCCCAAATCTTATGTCCCCTAGGGCTGCTTTTGGGGCTCCACCATCCTCTGGTCCTCCAGGCCTTTGAGTGGAGATCGACATGGCTGTGGGTCATGACTGAGGAGATGGTGGTGTCCACAGCTACAGCCCCTTCCCCACACCCAAGGGGATCCAATTGCCCCTCTCCATCACTGGCAGGGATCTGGTCACTGTTCCCCAGTCCTGGGGGGATCTGATCATGCCTCTCCAGACCCAGTGGGGATCCATCCCATCACCTTCCCCATCACCAGCAGAGATCCACTCTCCCTTCCCCAAGCCCGGGATGATTCCCTGTTCGTGGAGCCCGGGCTCCCCTCTCTGTGTTTGGGGAGGGTGGATGGGAGGAGGGGTCAGGAGTTGTGAGCAGAGCTCCCTGGCCAAGGAGATCCCCCCACCCTCTCCCTGTGGGGGGTCCAACACACGCTGAAGAAAAACATCCCGTGGCTCAGGGTGTCGTAACTGTGGAGGGAAAAATAAGCTGCTGCTGGCCAGATGTGAGGGGGAGGGTGGAGAGGCGGGGGCAGAGCAGCCCCGAGAGACAGACAGACAGAGTGAGCCGGGGATGGGGGCGGGAGGCTGGTCCCTGCTGTCAGCAGAGCACAGGAGGCTCCAGCTGAGCAGAGAACAGCTCCCCCTTCCTGTACTCCTATCCCTCCGTCCCATGTCTCCATCCTGGTGCAGCTCTGTGGCCTCCACCCGCTGTCCCCCAGCAATCCCCGAGTCTGCCCTCACATACAGAGAGCGTTCCCCGAACCTCCCTTGCTGACTGACAGACATTCCCCAAATCCCCCTGCACCCCACAGAGACCCCACTCCCCCCATCCTGCTGCACTTCCACAGAGACCCCCAGAAATCCCCGTGCACCTCTCAGATGGACACCCCCGTCCCCAGATTTCTTTGCACCCCTCAGACCCAGCCCCCCTCTCCTCCCCGTGCACATGGGGACAGTCCTGGTCACACACACATGTGCACCCCCGTGGGAGGGGGTTCCAACTAGAGCATCCTCCTTTGGGGCAGGTGGTCCCAGACCACAGGGGAGGCCACGGGGGGCAGGGTGGCGACAGACCTGGTGCTGTGGGGCCCCCGTGACATCGTGCCCTCTGCCCCCAGCCCAGGAGCTGCTGTCCCTTCCACACAGGATCACCTGGAGCACAGTAGGGGCAGCTCCAGGAGGGTGATGGTGGGGATCAATCACAGCGACCCGCAGCTGATGGGGAGCAGGGCTGAGCACTTCCAGGTGCCACCTGCGGGGCTGTCCCCGCTACCTGCCCGTCCCAGGGCACTGGGCATCGCTGCCCTCTTTGCTGGTGATGCCACCGGGCACCTAGAGCCTGGTGGTGGGGGCTGTGGGTAGGGGAGGAGAGGATGGTCACCACTGGTGGGGAACAGAGGCTTTCAGAGCTGTGGTTTGAGGAGTCGCAGCCTCCCCGGTGCCCTGAGCCCCACGGTGTCCCCGTGTCCCCGGCTGCGGGTGTCGGTGGAAGGTTGTGTGCAGAGGAGGCACGTTGGGTTTCGTTTCCTTTCTCTCTCGCACTAAAATCACCCAAGGGCAGTGCGAGAGCCGGGAAGGGAAAGGCACAGCCACAGACCTGGCCAATTAGCGCTGATGAAGGAAACCCGGTCAGCCGTGCTAATGAACGGGGACACGCGGCAGCAGGAACACGCTCATTCCAGCCCAGCGAGCAGAGGGAGGAGTTGCCGAGCTGAGGTGCTGAGACAAGGGAGGCCGGCAGAAACACAGCCCTGATGAAAAGGATGCAAATAGGGTGGCAAAACGGAGCCCCCGGCAGCTGCTGGGGCTGAGACACCATCAGGGGATTAGAGGCATCGCCCCCGGGCCTTGGAAAGGAGGGGACGGTCATGGATGCGGGATGGGAATGAGTGGGAAGTGTGTGTGGGGGGTCTTTCACCTCCAGCCATTGGAAGGAGTGAGGGACTCTCTTAAGTGGTGTGGGGCCATGGGTTACAGCCCCTGGTGTGGGGTGTGAGGGACTGTATCCCCCCCAAACCAGGTGTGCCTGGTGTGTGGATGTGGGGGGCTGGTAGGGGAGGTGGGGGGGGGGAGGTGGGGGGTGTGGGTGTGGGCGTGTGTTCACCAGCAAACTCTGAGGTGGCCCAGTCACCAAGCAGAGGGGGACCTTGTGTCTGGGCCAGGGTATCCATCCTGGAATATTCTGAACATCCCTCAACAGCCAGAAGGGGCTCGTGTCCTCCATCCCATTGCCCTCCTGCTTCTCCCTCTCCTCCATCTCCTTATTTCCCCCACACTGGGATCAGCTCAGCACCTTTTCTCCCTATCCCCCATCTCCTTCTTTCCCCCACTCTGGGATCAGCTCAGCACCTTTTCTCCCCCTCCCTGCTCTCCCTTGTCACCCTCCCAGGTGACAACCATGGCATGGGACCAAGGGAACCCCAGGCTGCTCCACAGGTAGCAGAGCTGGAAGCTCTTGCTGGTCCAGGAACAGGTCCCACAGTGGTGGAGACGCCCCTTGTCCTTCCACTGGGGATTGTCCCCAGCTCACCTCCTGCTCCTGGCAGGGCTGGAGCATCCAGAGGCCAAAGGCAGTGATGGCCCCGTGTCACCAGCTTGTAGGGCCCTTGTTCACAGCAGTCATTTTTTGGGACCAACTGACCTTGAAAATCAAACCAAAACAACAACAGAAAAAAAAAAAAAAGGAACTGAGCCAACCCAGTTTCCCATTGGATCTGTGAGCTGAGCTGAGCTGACCTGTCACTTGGCCACATCCTGCAGCAGGCTGTGGTCACGGGATGAGTCCCATCAGGCAGCTCCTCCAGCCATGACTTCACCCAGCAAAGCACAAGGCAGGGAAAATCACCAAAAAAGTTGAATTTTCAAGTTATTGCCTCTCACCCCTTCATTTGGGGTCCCCAAAGGCAGCCAGGAGGTTGTCCTGGGTTCGACACAGGCACTGGGAGTTGGAGCCTGCCCCAAGCAGAAGAAAATCCTGGGAGCCAGTGACAGTGGGGGGCTTCTCCTCCTATAAAAACCTCAGAAGGGAGGGCAGTAGATGATGCAGTCAAAAAGCAATTGGAAATCTCAGTACTTGGGATACAAAAGGTTCTAAAGGGACCCATTGGGGCAGTGGGTGCAAAAAGCCAGGCAAGGAGCGTGGGTGTCTGTAGCTGGGATGTTTGTGGGATAGTTCCCACAGCCCCTCTGCCCTGCTCTCCTCCAGCCCCCCCATCACATCCCCTGGGATTTTATTTTCCCCTGACGCAGCTGGCTCCTCTCACACCTCACATTCCCGGGGCAGAGAGAGAGGTGTCTCACCATGCTCCACATCCCTTCCTGCTCGATAAATCCACTTCCTGACGCTTTGATTTATTATTATTTATGATCATAATAAAACGTGTGCGTAGACGGAATAAAATCTGCCTTTTGCTGACTGAAACCTCGTGACCGCGGTGAAGGAGAGGGCGGAGGGCGGGCACTGCCTGCCCTTGGCCGGCTCCGTCCGGACTCGGGGGCTGCCAAGACCTCATCCATCACGGGGAGGAGCAGGACCGGCCCCCAGCGCTCTCCGGGCTGTGGGAGACCGGACAAAATAGGATGTGGTGGGATTTTGCCCTTTCGCAGCCTGTGTGACCTCGCGGTGGCCTCTGCTGTGCGGCGGCAGGAGCTGCTGGGAGAACACTCTGTCTGTCTGTCTGTCCTTCCCGCAGGGCACAGCCCTCCTCCCGGCCG